GTGGAGGAGGGGGTTGAGAAACCTGCAGGCTGTGCCAATAAAGTTTACAGTTCCAACAAAGTCTGAAAACATTGAACATCATGTTCATCTCTGATCTAGGCACTTAACATTAAAAGGCAAATAAATCATGATTCTGTACACGCTTCACCATCTCACATGGGTTGAGACTCCATTTTTAGTCAGTTAAACCTTAAGCAAAGGTCACCATTAAAGGCTATTTTCTTTTCTTTTTTTTTACAGGCTATTTTCTAAAAGTCAAGAAAAGTTGTAGCAGCAGGATGAAGAAGCTGTAAATCTTGGAATAATTCTAATTATAGTGTTCTGCCTAAACGTATGGCATCAGGGTATGCCTTTAGAGAATTTTCATATAAACCAATAAATTAGACTGAAATACTTTCATGCAGTGGCTTCTGATTGCACATAATAGAATGTGAGAACAATCAGTGCTAGTGGTAGTATAAAATGACCTATAAGTGTAGAAGGTATAAAATAAAAGTAGATTTCATCTTCCCTTGAAATTCAACCCTTTGCAAATTCATATGTAAATGAGCTCTTGGACAATTTTGGAATGGGAAGGCAACGCATCTGTATTGAGAATCCACTATCTATGTACAAGGCACAAGGCAAGGACAAATTGACACGTGCTTTATCCCCAAGAAACCAAAACAGAGTTAAGGAATATGTAAATATCTATGATAAAAGGTGGGAGGTGATAAATACCACAAAAGAAATACAAGAAAAATACTGGGAGTTCAGAGTATTTTTGGCTGCCAGTGGAAGTAAAAAGTGCTCATGCAACTGTTGGGAGCAAGATTATTCCAAGTAGAACGTGACCAAGGTACAGAGACAGGCACTGGCTGGCCAGTGAATGCTGTTGTATAACTCCACAGGGCAAGAGAAGAAGGGTTCATATAGGAGAAAGGTATTTCCAGGGAAGGCTGGAACAGACTGATAGAGGATCTTACTAAGGGAAAAGGACTTGATGCCAAGCCAGATTGACAGCCAAGATGACATTTTCAATTAATATTTTGAGACTCCTCTCTTCTCACTGTGCTTCAGAAAGAAAACTAAGAGACATAAATGAGAGAATTCACATTATAGCTATGGGTAAAAGAAGATCCTCAAGATTTCCATGTATCAGAAACAGAATCAAAATGCAGAACAGTGATTAGAACAGAGACAACACAAGTCCTGGGCTCTGTATGTGGAAACCGGAAGACACTGAGGAGAGTTCAGCTCTTGTAGAACAGTGGAGACTAACAGGTCTCTCTGTGTGGCTAGAGACAAGAACCAACCCTGTGGGAGACTGTTACATGGTAGCCTTCAGTGAACCATTTTCCTATATTTGCACCCTTGTCTAATCTCCTCCCACATCAACTCTGTGCTTGGCCATGTGGCTCGCTTGGCCAATGGGACATCAGTAAATGAGATATAGCAGAAGCTCAATAAGTGCGTACACTTTGGGGCATGTCCTGTTGGAAGCTCTCTTGAAAGTTGATGGCTATGCTATGAAGAAGCTCAGGTAAGATACTGAATCATGAAAACCCCCTGGAGAGAGCCCTGGAGAATTAGAGTTCATATTGGCCATTCCAGTGGTAGATGAGTTTCCATTCACTGGTCACAGAATCCATCCAATACTTCACTAGTAACTAAATAATTATTAGGGACCTACTATATGCAAGACATTGTTCTCACATGAAACATTCAGTTCAGTTCAGTCGCTCAGTCATGTCCAACTCTTTGTGACCCCATGGACTGCAACACGCCAGACTTCCCTGTCCATCACCAACTCCTAGAGTTTACTCAAACTCCTGTCCATTGCATTGGTGATGCCATCCAACCATCTCATCCTCTGTCATCCCATTTTCCTCCTGTTTTCAATCTTTCCCAGCATCAAGGTCTTTTTCAATGAGTTGGTTCTTCACATCAGGTGGCCAAAGTATTGGTTCATCTTCAAAGTTCAGCTTCAGCATCAGTCCTTCCAATGAATATTCAAGACTGATTTCCTTTAGGATGGATTGGTTGCATCTCCTTGCAGTCCAAGGGACTCACAAGAGTCTTCTCCAACACCACAGTTCAAAAGCATCAATTTTTGGCGCTCAGTTTCCTTTATAGTCCAACTCTCACATCCATACATGACTACTGGAAAAACCGTAGCCTTGACTAGATGGACCTTTGTTGGGTAAAGTAATGTAAAGTAACATGAAACATTAGGAGTAAATTAAACAAAGTCCACCTCTTGTTGAGCAATTGACCAAATCCATTAAGCTCACAATTTTCATCCAACCCTTTCCTTAAATGCCTTTAAAATGGATTATTTGTGCCATCTCCTTTATCAAGTATCTCAGGCAGTATTTTAGTCTCATCCAGCTTTGAACATTATGCTGTCTAATCTGTTTCCATCTCCAAAGGGCCTCCCACCACACTGCTGTAGTTACAGATTTATGATCTGTGCTGTCCTATTAATGCATTTTCTGGCCCTGTGGCTCAGATGATCAGGGGCATTGTGCATCGCTGGCATTTACTATGTTTGCTTTAAGCTCTCTGGGCTTTCTCACATATTTTTATTTTGCAACACAATTTTACAAGTTGAAAAATTGCAGCTCACATTCCAAAGCTATTAGTATGACAAATATTCTTGTACAATGACCAGTGCACTCTAATAAGGCAAAAGGCCAGTTCCCCCACCTCTGCCCTAAGGACCAGCTCCACCCCAGCCCAGACCCAGTCTCAGAGATCCAAGTGAAAGTCTCTTGGTGGTTATTGTGGAGAGTTGGGGAAAAAGCAGCGGGGATGGGTTTGGGAAGTAGAAAGCCAGATCTCCCATAGTTTTGTCCAGAATTCCCTATAATATCTCCATCTAAATGGCAATTAGGAAGCCAGAGCCACTAACCAAAATGTGGTTTGAGTTGATTTGGGGTAGATCCAGGAATCCCGTATAAGCCAAGAATTTTGCTCACAGTCATGTTTCTCTTTTGGGAAATAATCCCTTTAATGGGTCAAGGTCATTATATTTTTCAAATTCTTTTCATTTATAGAGTGAATTAACAACTCTCAGATACAGGTAGATGAGATTATCTGCCTGTTTAGCCCAAGAGGAAACAGGTGCCATGAGGTTGCTTGGCCTCATAATGCAATTAATTGGCAGAGCCTGTCCTTCAGTTCAGATCTTTTCTTCCCTGAGCTTCTCCCTCTCTTTTTCTCCAGTGAAGATGAGCAAAATGACTCCTTTAATCGTGCAGGGTCCCTGGACCATCTGCTGCCCCAGCTCTCAAGGGAATTTAAGGGAGTACTACTGCAGAGAGCGTTGTAGAACCTGGATGAAGGGCCAAAGCAAGAAATTGAATCCTAATATAGTTAAGAAACCAAGTTACCTGTGAATCCTGTCAGAAGCCTGAGAATCAAATAGTACACCTAGAAGAAAGAAGGCCCATTGACATAAAGGTCATAAAATGTGGACAAGAGGAACAGTGACAGGAGAGGTGTGATTGAACCAACACCAGTAAATGATGAGCTCATGGATGGGAGAATCCAGGAACTGCTTAGGAGCCCTGAGAGAGGAAGGGTAGGCATTTAAACCAGGATCCAACAATTCTATCATTCGGCTCCAGGAGAAATAAAAGGATTTTTTGCTATACTTGTTTATTGTGCTTTATTTCCTTATTATTGTACTGCTCCACCCTGAGAAACTTGGCTTAAACAATTTGATCAGGACACAATTTCCAATTGTAAGGAGGTCACCGGGTAGTGGGGAGATAACATGAACACAACTATTTATGAAAGTGTGCAATAAATGTTGTAACAGATTTTGTGTGTGTGTGTGTGTGCATCTACCTACCTACCTATGCAAGAACCTTGGGAGAACCTCAGTTTTTAAGTTCTTTGGCTAAAAAGCTTAGTTCTGCTAAAGCTGCTAAATTCCCTCTGTTACACCAAATTTTTCAGTAAAGTCTGTGCCATCAACAAGTTATCTGTGGGAGTATATTTGGCCAAAAAAGCATAGGAAAAAGGCTTGTGCTTCCTTCCTGGGTAGCTGTGGAACAGAGAGAAGAATCATATGGCTATGAGAATTGAAATATGAATAAGACTGAGAGTTGAGTAAATGCGGAAACGTGGAGCTGGAGGTGGCTGGAAGAAATATACACCCCCAAAGATGTCAGGGACATCAGTGGGCTCTTCTCCTTCAAGTCAAGTTCAACTGGAGGTCAAGTCAAGGTAATCTGAATCTCAACGGAAAGGCTGAAGTTCAGCTGATTTTTGAGTCACATTTATTCAACCAACCTCGTTTAGAATCTTAAACCTTCTGAGAGCTATTCCTTTGGTTTCCGAAAACTGGAATCTAGTTTTAGTGTGTTCATGTCTCTCCCACATCTCCCACTTCTGAATTCCTTCCTCTCTTTAAAAGATTTTTTCTTTAGCATAAAATTTACAGCAGTAAATTTACAGCATATTAATTAACACACAAAATTCTCTGGCTTGAATAAATGTGTTTATTTTCTTTAAATACACTTAAATATAAAACAACAGACAGTAGTTTGGTAAACTCAAAACTACAAGCTGGACAGTAATCAGATAATCAGTGCTGATCATACACATCAAGATCTGCATAAGAAAGAATCAAAATAGTTCACAAGAGAGTTGCAATTAGCAAAGGACTCAAAGACTATGCAAATTGCCTCATCTGCTCTGAGTAATTAATCACATGGTACCTGTCACTCCATGATGATCAAACCTTTTTCACTCACCAAAAAAAGGGGAGAGGGTGAGGGAGATTTCTTCCTCTCCATTCCCTGGTGTGCAGAGCATCATCTGTTAGGAGACATCTGGCAGGGAGCCAGGGAATCCTCAGCTGTTGTTTAATGGAAGGTTGGTCGGGATTCACCATGGTACTATGTAAAAGGGATTTGTTTTTTTCCTAACACCTGGAATAGTGACAGTACCTTGGCAAAGCAGCATGCTGTTTAAATGACATGGATGGGGAACTGGGGATCAGGGCTAACTCAAGGATTTTCTCGATCGTGGAGCCCATGGGTGGCCCTTTTCTCCTTTGGAAAGCGGCAATGCTTTGGACATGCCGGTTTTCCATTTGCACAGGTTCTGGGGTGAAAGGGGCATCTGTCCTCACAGCTGTTACAAAAGAAGATAAACATGAGAATTCAGAATCAGGGACTAAATTCTAAGGAAAGACTCTGTTCTGATTTGATTACATTTTCAGAGTAAATTTTCCAGATTCATGTTTAGGATGTCAATATAAAATCCTGGCTGGTTATCCCACATGGTTATTAAAGCACAACTGCTAACTTCTAAGCATTCTATTCATCAGTACATTTCTTGTTATATAAATCCAATGGCATCTCCTTCCTCAAAGGAAAACATAAACGCATGTCGAGCTATATTAAAAGAGGGACTGAGCTAAAGAGTGAGCTGATCTGAAATACTTGTGTATATGTCATCAACTTTAATTTTTGCTGAAGATCCATAAGCCAGCTACAGCAGACAGAATTTTCTTGATTTCACAATTAATCATCACTCTATATACTTACTTAGTTGCCAAACCTCTGTTTTATTATCAAAAGGGGGGCTTGGCACTGAAGAATAAAACTGGCTTAATAAGGAATCTCACCGAATCTAAGTAGTATTTACATTAAATGTCAATGGGTCAAATATAGGCAAGAGTGAAAAGCCACTCACCTGCAGGTGTCTGGGTGAAATATCTTGTGCTTCTGGCAGCAGCTCTCCAGACTCTCTCTGCACTCAATGCAGCTGCAGTTCTCTGGGTGCTGGATGAGATCTCTGGGACATGGCGTTTTACAGACACACTCACAACGATCTTCATCAAACTTCATGTGCTGACCACAGAGAGCCAGTTCCTGGAGGTGAGTGTGATCTAAACCAAAACAGGAAAGTGTTGGTCAAATAGCTGTAGCATGGAGAATGGGATCACCAAAGTTGGTTGTATTCATTTCATCATTGTAATGTAGCTTGGATTCACCCAATATCCTTTTTTGTAGATTTTTGCCCTTAATATTTTCACAGAATGAAGGAGATCCACCTCTGATTTAACAATACTAACACATCACATGTTCTCTTTAGTTTTTTATAAAAATGTTGTAAGCTGAATATTTTGGTAAGATTTTTTAAGATGTTTTAAGATTAAGATTTTTAAAGATTTTTTAAGATGTCACAACTGGGCTGTGACTAGTTGAAGCAACCTTGCAAAGCCAAGTATTAGTCATAAAATACAGGATGTCTAAGGACTATGAGTCTACTCCTTCCCAGTTTTAGGTGAAGAATAAAAGGAGAGAACAGAAATACTAGGACATTGTAGAAATACACAGGCTATGGGTAGGTGTATTTCCTCACTGCAGGTCATAACTCTAGTATAAAAAGTATAACATGAAAATGTACTTTGATTCCACAGACATCTGTTGGAAGATACAGTTGGCTCAGAGAGGAGGTGCTGAGAAGTTTTTGACACACTTAGCTAACAGACATTTCTAGAAAATGTACAAAATAGTTGGATAATTAGTATTCCACCTCCAATTCTGATCAAGTTGAAATTCATTGGAAGAGACAGAAGCTTTAGAAGAATTTGAAAATCACATTAGTATTCTTGAAAGGCTTGGAGGAAAGTTGTTTAGTTTCTCCCCCAAACCTTCTCTCCCACTTTGCCAATATCTGGTCATTGCTGTTGTTCAGTTGCTGAGTCGTCTGACTCTTTGCAACTCCATGAACTACAGCACACCAGGCTGTTGTGTCCTTTACTCTTTCCCGGAGTTGGTTCATATTCATGTCCATTGAGTCAGTGATGCCATCCAACCATCTCATCCTGTCACCCCCTTCTCATCCTTCCCTCAGTCTTCCCTAGCATCTGGGTCTTTTCCAATGAGTTGGCTCTTCACATCAGGTGGCCATAGGATTGGCCATAGCTTCAGCTTCAGCATCAGTCCTTCCAGTGAATATTCAGGGTTGATTTCCTTCTGGATTGTCTAGTTTGATCTTGCAGTCCAAGGGACTCTCAAGAGTCTTTTCTAGCACCACAATTCGAAGGCATTAATTCTTTGGCGCTCAGCCTTCTTTATGGTCCAACTCTCACATGTGTACATGACTCCTGGAAAAACCATAGCTTTGACTATATGGACGTTTGTCAGCAAAGTGATGTCTTCACTTTTGCTTTTTAATATGCTGTCTAGGTTTTTCATAGCTTTCCTTTCAAGGAGCAAGCGTCATTTATTTTCATCTGGCCATTAATGATATTTCAAAATCTTGTGTCGTCCAGTCTCATAGTCTTAACTGCTCTGTGGTTGATGATCTTTGAGGGTTCATGTGGAATGGGTGTTGAAAGGCCAGATCTGGGGATACGCTGTTCTGATTGTATGAAAAGGAAAAAGGTAAGCTTTGTAAAGCATATTCCAGTGAAGTATGTGTCACTTTAGAACAAGGCTAGATAGAAGCTCTTAAAAGATTTGCATGGATCACTAGGTGGCAGTAGAGATTCTCTTAGAACACTTCAGGCCAGCCCATCTCCATTCTTGGAGAGGTGATTTAGGGAAACAATCTACCAGGTATTTGCTGAACTTCAGCAATGTAGTTGGCCATGGCCAACCTCAGTCCTTACAGACAAGTTAAAACTAACAGAGAAAGGATATAGGAGAACTGACTGAAGCAGTAACTAGCTAATGGCAATACTCAGAAGTACTGTCTTTCAATTTCAATCTTAGGGAAGTTGGTGATGGGATACCAATGTGTTAGGTCCTCAGCCTTGTTCCATTTATCATTTTGATCAATAAACTGATAGAATTTTCCCAAGTAAATTCTTGAATTTGTGGGTGTCTGGAGGAGTTAAAATCCAGAATCAGGACTCCCCCTTTTTTTTCTTTTTTGGGTACTGTTAGTTTTCTGTTTTTGTTTTTGGAAACAGTTTAGTGCAATGGCCTAAATCTAACAAGATGAAATTGGACTTCAATTCACTAATTCACATGTCCTCTTTCAGAGAAGAGAAGTCATTTTGGAAAGGCAGTTGGCTTAATAGCCACATGTGTGGGGGCGGGGAGTATTTAGTGAACAGTAGTGAAAAAGTTGTCTTAAAGCTCAACATTCAATGCTGTTCTCTTGAAACAGCCCACCCTCGCCTTCTCCCACAGAGTCCAAAAGTCTGTTCTATACATCTGTGTCTCTTTTTCTGTTTTGCATATAGTGTTATCATTACCATCTTTCTAAATTCCATATATATGTGTTAGTATACTGTAATGGTCTTTATCTTTCTGGCTTACTTCACTCTGTATAATGGGCTCCAGTTTCATCCACCTCATTAGAACTGATTCAAATGAATTCTTTTTAATGGCTGAGTAATATTCCATGGTGTATATGTACCACAGCTTCCTTATCCATTCATCTGCTGATGGGCATCTAGGTTGCTTCCATGTCCTATCTAGGGTGAAACAGATCACCAGCCCAGGTTGGATACATGAAACAAGTGCTTGGACCTGGTGTACTGGGAAGACCCAGAGGGATCGGGCGGAGAGGGAGGTGGGAGGGGGGATCGGGATGGGGAATACATGTAAAACCATGGCTGATTCTTGTCAATGTATGACAAAAACCACTACAATATTGTAAAGTAATTAGCCTCCAACTAATAAAAAAAATAAAAACTCAACATTCAGAAAACTAAGATCATTGCACCTGGTCCCATCACTTCATGGGAAATAGATGGGGAAACAGTGGAAACGGTGTCAGACTATTTTTTGGGGCTCCAAAATCACTGCAGATGGTGAGTTCAGCCATGAAATTAAAAGACGCTTACTCCTTGGAAGGAAAGTTATGACCAACCTAGACAGCATATTAAAAAGCAGAGACATTACTTTGCCAACAAGAGTCTCTCTAGTCAAGGCTATGGTCTTTCCAGTGGTCATGTATGGATGTGAGAGTTGGACTGTAGAGAAAGCTGAGCGCCGAAGAATTGAAGCTTTTGAACTGTGGTGTTGGAGAAGGCTCTTGAGAGTCCCTTGGACTGCAAGGAGATCCAACCATTCCATCCTAAGGCAGATCAGTCCTGGGTGTTCATTAGAAGGACTGATGCTGAAGCTGAAACTCCAATACTTTGGCCACCTCATGCAAAGAGTTGACTCATTGGAAAAGACACTGATGCTGGGAGGGATTGGGGGCAGGAGGAGAAGGGGATGACAGAGGATGAGATGGCTAGATGGCATTGCCGACTCGATGGACATGTGTTTGAGTAAACTCCGGGAGTTTGTGATGGAAAGGGAGGCCTGGTGTGCTGCGATTCATGAGGTCGCAAAGAGTTCGACATGACTGAGTGACTGAACTGAACTGAACTGAAGCTCAGTACATGTCATGAGTTTGATGAGGCCACTTGAGAAGTGACCATGAACTTGGCCCATGTCAACTGCATTGTGGGAGATGAAAATTAGAAATGATTGTGATCTAGGCTACCTCATGCCTCTCACTTCCATCATTGCCACAACTTCCCAATAGGTTCCCTTCATCCTTGCCTGCCCCAAGCCAGTCTCTTCTCTTGTACACTGTCCCTGGGTTGATTTTGTTGAAATCCTAACTGGTGCTGTCACTGTCCACTTGAACTCGTTGAGTGGTTTTGTTTTGTGTTTAACATCACATCCAAGCTCTGGGACACGGTTCACAAGGTCTCCCATGAAGCTCCCTGGCTTCCTCTCTCATATCTACCCTGCCCCTTGCCTCTATGTCCTCACCACGCTGAACGTCTTCCAGCACCCTGATGTGCTGGGTTCTCTCCCTTCCAGCTCTGAGCACTCATTTTTCCCCTGCTCAGAGCACGCCTCTCTTTCTCCATTACTTTCCCTACTCTCAAAATACATGTATACCAGCTAAGTCCCTCTGCAGGAATTACCTTCAGCAGAATCCCCTCTAGAGGAAGCCCATATCCAGTGACCAATCCATAGGACCCAGCCCCTCTGTCTCAATTGAGACATCCCCCCACAGGCTTGGCTAACACCTCTCAGCAACTGCCATACAGTTCAACTTCTCCCCCTGCCAAGTTCTGCCCCTGCTCCTTCACCTTTGAATGCATTCCTGCAAGTAAACTCCTGAATACCTATCTCCCTCCCAGGAGCTGTGTGCAGGGAAACCTTAACTAGAACCACCTTAAGTTCTATGTATATAGTTTTCCACAATAACTTCCTTTGTGGAACCTATTTTTATTGGAATATAGATGATCTACAATATTGTGTTAGTTTTAGAAGTACAGCAAAGTGAATTGGTTATACATATATCCACTCTTTTAAAAATTCTTTTCCCATATAAGTCATTACAGAGTATTGCATAGAGTTCCCCGTGCTAAACGGTAGGTCCTTGTTGTGTATCTCTTTTATGTATAGTAGTGTTTATCTGGGACTTCCTTGGTGGCTCAGATGGTAAAGAATATGCCTGCAATGCAGGAGACCCAGGTTCGATCCCTGGGTCGGGAAGATCCCCTGGAGAAAGGAATGGCAACCCACTTCAGTATTCTTGCCTGGAAAATCTCATGGACAGAGGAGCCTGGTGGGCTACAGTCCATTGGGTCACAAAGAGTTGGACTCTACTGAGCAACTAACACTCACTTTTCACTTTCACTGTGTATCTGTTACTCCCAACCTGAAGCCTGGCATACTGCAGTCTGTGGGGTCGCAAAGAGTCGGACACAACTGAGCGACTGAACTGAACTGAACCTTTCCCCCTTGGCGACCATAAGTTTGTCTTCTATACCTGTGACTCGATTTCTGTTTTGTAAATAAATTCATTTGTACCACTTTTTAGATTCTACACAATAACTTTCTAACAGTTTAAAAATGGGTCACATGGAGAAAGAACTAGATCAGTATGACATGGTTCTAGAGGGTAAACCTGAACTAACGAGTTGATGTTCTAGAGCTGGGATGTCCAGTATGATAGCTCCAGGCCAGAATGAGCATGAAATGGCAAGTCTGAATTGCGATGTGTTGTAAGTGTAAAATGCACACTCGATTTCAAGGACTTAGCACAAGAATAAAGATATATATCATTGTTGAATTTTATATTGTTTACACACTGAAATGAGTGTTTTTTAAAAAATATTTTAGATTAAAACACATTAGAAATAATTTTATCTTATTTTGACCTTTTTAATGAGAGTGCTATAAAATATAAGTTATATATGTAACTCTCACTGTAACTCCATTGGATAGCACTGTCCTAGAGAGAAAGAGAGAAAGATATTCAGGTTCCATATAGTTTACTAGCAACAAGAGTGTGCCCAGTGTAACTGGGCTGCCTCAGTGGGTTTGGCAAGTTTCCTCATGACTGATGTATATTCTAGCAGAGGACAGCTGAAGACTTGGTGGGAAGGAGGTACATGGCATTCAAAATCAACATGGGCATTTATGGAGTTACCAGATAACCCAGCAATTCCACTCCTGGACACTTATCTGCAAATGGTGAAAGCTATAATTTGAAAAGATACATGCGCCCCAATGTTAGCACTGTTTACAATAGCCAAGAAATGGAAGCAATCTAAATGTCCACCAATAGGTGAATGGATAAAAGATGGTGTACATATACATAATGGAATACTACTCAGCCATAAAAAGGAATGAAATAATACCATTTGTAGCAACATGGATAGACCTAGAGATTATCATACTAAGTGAAGTAAGTTGGACAGACAAATATATGATATCACTTATATGTGGAATCTTAAAAAAATGATACAAATGAACTCATTTACAAGACAGAAATAGACTCACAGATACAGAAGACAGTTACCAAAGGGAAAGGGAGGAGAGGATAAATTAGGAGCTTGGGATTAACAAGGGCTTCCCTGGTGGCTCAGATGGTAAAACATCTGTCTGCAATGTGGGAGACTCGGGTTCGATGGCTGGGTTGGGAAGATCCCCTGGGGAAGGAAATGGCAAGCCACTCCAGTACTCTTGCTTGGAAAATTCCATGGATGGAGGAGCCTGGTAGGCTACAGTCCATGGGGTCGCAAAGAGTTGGACACAACTGAGCAAATTCACTTTCACTTTCACCTTCTTTGGGATTTACATTTACACACTACTATACAGAAAACAGATAAAACACTAGGACCTGCTGTATAACACAGGGAAGTATATTCAATATCTTGTAACAACAGAAAAGAATTTGAAAAAGTATATATATGGATATGTGTGTGTGTGTATGACTGAAGCATTTTGCTGTCTGCCCGAAGCATTGTAAATCAACTATACTTCAATTTTCAAAAAGATATGCATGGTCATTTAAACTACATGAACTTTAAGGTTCTATGAAACCCTGGGCTGAGCTTTCATGAAAACATTTGGAAGCTGAGAGACAGAAGCATAAGGTTAGCTTGTTATTTACAGTTTCTGGGACAGATTTCCTTACAGTTTACTCCTTACTAATCTTGCTTGTAGATCACAGTTGGAAAAACAAGCAAGGTTCAAAACACATGAGTCCTTGCAATCTTTACAGTGAAATCATGTCAAGTTACCTTGGAAATCAATAAAAAGTGCATTTGTTTTCAGACAGATGTTCGTGATCAAAAATCAGAGTGTTAAGAGTTACGTGCGATGATGAGAGCCTAGCTCATCTGCTTCCCAACTCCCCTGAGTCCAAGAGCCATGTTTTGCTTTTACTTTGCCCGTGTGTCAGAAGTCATCTCTTATTCACCATTTTCTCAAATTACTGGCATGTTTTCACAAGACACAGTTGAAAGAAACCAAGTGCAAAATTACCTTAGGTTCCTGTGAGGTTTTTATACAAAAAGTTAGTAAAATGTGGTTGACTCGTGTTTACTTCTGAAGTGGCTTTCATTAAAGGTTATCATCCCCTTTTAAATTCATTGCTTTGAGATACTCTAATCATTTGGGGCTTTAAGATTAAAAAGCAGAATGATGCATTGGTGGACTTACTATATAATTATACCAAAAGGCTCTGGAATCTCACTGCTTCTATCACTCTTAGCTGTGTGACCTTGAGAAAAATTACTAAACATCCTGGTTGTGTCCATTTTGTAATTGTAAAAATAAAAGAGGAAAAGAGGCATTAATCATACATTATAGGATTGTTGGGAGGAGTAAATTAGTTGGTATATATAAAAAGATTACACAATTGCTTTAAATCATGTCAATAAATACTAGTTGTTATTGTTATTGTTATTACTGTTATTATTTCACCACTGCAATCATTACCTTCCATTCCTGCCAGTGGATTCTCCTCCTGTAAAACACATTTACATTTGTTGCTATCCCAGAGCATGTCAACAGGACAGAGCTTCTTGGAATGGGAGCAGCTAGGAAAAGAAGACAATAAATCATATTTTAAAGCTTTCAAAGGTAATTATACCTTTGGAACATTTTTTTTAAATGTTGAATACATTTCTGAGTAGAGAACAGTGAAGATTTTCAGGAGCTTGATTCATATTTATGAAGAACATGTTATTAGATAGTAATTCTGTAATTACAAATATTCTCTGTGGAAACCTTTGGAAATGAAACTGTAATTTTGGAAAGTTATAATCTTTTTAAGAGGATTGGTGTTAAAAACTATGCAAATTAGCTGTCAACAAAGCTTATTTACCGAAAGTAAATAGTGTTCTAACACAGCTCCTAAACATTATCGTCTGTAAAATGGAGATAAGAACGCTGGCCAGGACAGCAGGAACATTTTGTAAATGTTCCTTTTCCATGAGCTTTCTCTTCTACTTGAGAAAGGCAGAGGGGTCTGCTTGGCTTAAGGCTCACTCCTTCACTAGCTACTCACACAGTTTCCTCCTTTAGTTCTGCAAGATCAAAGTCTCCAACTTACTTACTTTATATTTTTATTCAATGGTTGCAATTTGCCCTTTGATTCTCTGTATTAAATTATTTTTCCCCAAATCAGTGATTCTGACCTTTTGATTTCAGAACACTTTAGGGTGTCATAATTTGTCTCAGAAAGAATCACAAAATCCTCACAAGAAAATGTCTAGTCAAATTAAGTTTAAGTCATTTTCATTTAAAATACAATTTCCCATTTGGTAAACTTAAGAGGAGGGGTTAAAAAAATGCCCAAATCAGATGCAGATAGCTTTGCCACTCTCCAGTGATGCCAGGAGCCTTTTTCCCCTCCTAACTTTGGGACTTAAATATATAAACAGCCTGAAATGAGTTTTATCTAATGCTTGTTCTGGAATGAGCGGACAGATGCCAAATTTGAAGCTGGAGTTGAGTTTTACAACTGCATCAAACTATGTGTATTAAGAACAAAGGTGCCCACAAGTTGACATGCTGAGTTCACAGCCACTGAGCTTTTTGACATCCTGCAATATACAAGTAACACCTAGTAAAAAATACACTTGCCAAACACTCATTACCCACAGATATGGGTTAGAACCTAAAAGACAAAGAGCTTGAAGCAAGAGAGACTCTGTGATTAATGACAGATTCGCCACACACAGCTTCAGCAAGGGAAGAACAAGCATAGAGTAAGAAAGCCTTAACAAGTGTAACAGGTGTAAGAAAGGCTTACCGATCTTCTTCTGGGATCTGGATGGATCTTCTAATAATTGAGAATGGATGGCGGGGAGCTGTTGGGAAGCACTTACAACCTGTATGGTTGGCAACTTTAACAGGCACTAATTCAGGTACTGATGTCAAAGGCACTGATATCTCAAAGAGCTAGAGTAGAGAAAGAGAACTATAACACATATATTTGTTTGTTTTACAAAAAAATAATCATGTCTACAGTCTGCATTTTTGCCTTTGTCCCTTACGGTTGTGACTTTAGCAAAGTTGTCCATTAAGATAGAACTAATAAGGTTGAGGGCTGGTGTGATAGAAAGAATGCTGGGCTGCAAATCAGAAGACCAGGGCCTTTACATCACTTTATCAAGAATTTAAGTTTGGGCAAATCTCGTAGCTTCTTGGTGTCCCTAGTACCCTTCTAAAATAGTTAGCTTGTAAAATGTTCCCTGTTCCTGCTTTAAGTCTGAGTGTAAATTGTAAGGATTAAATGAAATTACAGCTATGAAGTTTCTTTGCAACAGTGAAGAGATAACTGTTCAAAACGATTTACTTGTCCCTTCCCACGCCGTCTCCACCAAAGGAATATAGTTTCCTGTTCCTTCACTTTGGACTTGGCCATGTCACTTGCTTTGCCACAAGCATAGACTTGGACTATGTGTGCTTTCTGGGGCTCACTGTCTCATGCATTTGCTCTAGCCATGACAACAGCACAATCTGCAGTCTTGCTGGTCTAAGGGATAAAAGACACGGGAACCAGACCTGGACTCAACCTGAAGCTTGGCATCAAGCCCCGCTGAGCCTAAACTCTAAAGTAACTGAATCTCAGATACATGAATGAGAATGTCATTACTGTTTGAAGCCACTAAGTTTTAGGGTGTTGTTTATTCAGTATTACAGAGTAAAAACTAACTGATACAAGACCATCATGCCCAAACAATTATAGGTAACATGAATATCATTTTTTCTATGTTTCCATATGCCAGCCCCTGTTGTAAGTACCTTTATATTAATTCATTTACCCCTTATAACAACATTATATGTTGGTTTTATTACCCCCCAGCTCTACAGGTGAAGAAACAGATGGAAAGAGAGGTTAAATAACTGGCCTAAGACTACATAACTATTGACTGGGAGGATGGGGATCTGAACCCAGACAGTCTACTCCACAGCCAGAGGGCATACTCTCAAGAACATGCCTTATTACTTTTTGGAATAAAACTGCTATGACCAGGAGCTGCAAGATGGAATCTCAGCAAGTAAAATTTACTTGCCAAGAGTATCAATTACTTTAATTCTAGAGTGGTTCTCTGATGTACAGGTGAATTTGAACTTGATTTTAATGTTCTGTCCATTCAATTACCATTCCACATAGTCCTTGCTACATAGAGTCTTCATTTATTCACTTAGCTTCTAAGAGGTATTTCCCTGAATAGCCCATAACTTTGGGATGAGAAGTTTTTTGGAAAACACTATTACAATGTTCAAATATGCATATTTGGAAAGAAAAACTGCTGAACACTTACACTTAAGCATATTCTTGGAAACTCATTTGTTGTGGACAACAGTCAAAATATTCAATTATCTATTAAGTGGAAACAATCCATTAAAGTTGTGTTTGTCCTGACCTTTCAATATGTAATGGTACTTCCATAAGTCTAAGTAAGAGTGTTTTTAAGAGTGTTTATTTTGCATGAACTTCATCTTGCGAAATTTTTCAGTATACTCTAGGGTATAACACAGTCACGAACTAAAGCCTCTTACGTTACGCAACCTTTGTTTCTACTGACAGTTGATGCTTAGCCATAGTCATGTCATTTTTCCCCCTCTGATTGTCAAACAGTAGAGGTCAGAATTTTTACAAGTTCCAAGATTCTCTAAAAGAATTTAGAAAAATAAACTCTAAACTTTAAGGGCTATTTTAAGAGGTATGGGGGGAAAAGTAAGGGTACGTTAACCTAGTACCAAAACAAATCAGCATTCCATTCTTTCCTTCCGAACAAGATAAGTTATGTATTAGGTTGGCCAAAAAGTTTGTTCAAGTTTTTTCATAATATCTTACAGAATAATAATTTTTATTGCAGTACCTCTTTTCCCAATCATGAGACTAGATTGTAGAGGCAAATGTGACAATTAAATAAATATATCAATATGTGTGAGAGATTTGCAACATTGAACCAAAAGGAATGTAGTTTGACTTAACAGCTTTTTAGTATGTTTTCTTTCCTAAGTTTGTTATTACTGCTCCACTATACCATATATGGGTTTCCCAGGTGGAACTGGTGGTAAAGAACCCATCAGCCAATGCAGGAGATGTAAGAGAGGTGGGTTCGATACCTGGGTTGGGAAGATCCCCTGGAGGAGGGTATGGCAACCCACTTCAGTATTCTTGCCTGGAGAATCCCATGGACAGAGGAGCCTGGTGCGCTATAGTCCATAGAGTTGCAAAGAGTCCGACATGACTGAGTGACTAAGCACGCATGCATGCCATATACATTTTACAACAATATGGTAGCAATACAAAGATAAACTTACCTACTGAGCAAAAGAGGTTTTATAAGATGAAGAGAGAAAAAAAAAAGATGAGAGAAGAATTATTTCTTTCATGGGGACTGGAGGGTTCTTTCCAAAGGTCTTCTGTGCTAGATATTCTCCATCTGCCCCTTTGGAGATGCCATCCTCTTTTCTTCCTTCCCTACTGGACAGTGTCCAAGGATGCTGACCTCCACGGACTACATCTATAAGCCTCCTTACCTCCCCCACCCTGCCCCCTCTCCCTGCCAGGATAAGGCTGGGCAGTGGCTGCCCCTCACCCAGCCAGTCCTGCAGCCCTCTTCCCCACTTCCTCTCTGGGTTCCCATAACCACTCCACCCTCTGGCCTCTTCAGTCTAAGGGTGGGAACAGCTCCCCCTTTCTAGCAGCTCTGGGTACTTCATCAGCCCTTCTTCCTTCCCCTACCCTGCCCATTCCCTTCATTAAACTCTTCTCAATCACTCCATCTGAACAACGTGGTATGTAATTAATAACACAAGTCAGTGTGGCTATCTTTGTTCCTTGAAATGTCTGCGCTAGTGGCTTCCATATGATTTTCTGATCCTTGACATCATAGCATCAGAGAGACAGTCCTAGATATAACTACCTCGGGTGCATCTGGAGCCCCTCTCTGACTCTCCGTTTCCTCATAAGATGATAAGCTACCCTTTGAGCTTGTTTCAGGGTTAAATAAGATGATGCAGCTAAGGCACTGAGACAGCGCTTGGCAACCTGTTGAGCTGTAGCTGTCAATGCCACCAGCATCAGGGCCACAGAGGGCTCATGTCCTCCTACCTGTTTGGAAACATACGAGGTGCTGGTATTGACACAGACGAGGCTCTCTTCGTTGCAGCAGCCGCCACACCGGAACACGTTCACACAGGGAGGCTTGAAGAATGTGTCTGTGCTGCTCCCCAGCTCACTGGCCACCTCCACGCAGGTCTCTCGAGGGCTGCACTGTGTTCTTTGCCACTCCTCGTCTATAACTGCAGAGAGGCAGTCCATTGGGTCAGCAGAACAAATGGCCCTGACCTGCCTACATGTACCAGGGTTTGCTCAGCGCCATCATTCTTGTATATATCAAGCTTGTTGATTTCACAAGATGGGTATCTGGGTTGGCTTTAACCAAGAATTGTTGGCAGAAAAATTACTACCCAAATCTGTGTTCCTTTCCATGTTTATGATCCCTTCATAGCCACTAATTCTACTTTCCGCTAGTAATAAACACCATGTCCTGGATATAACTACATTGGGTACATCTGGAGAGTCTGGCTAATAAGGAAGTAAATTAACGCATGTAAAGCAATAACATGTAAGCATTATTTATCAAGCAATTTACAGGACATAGCTGGAGAGCATTTCTTCTCGTTTAAGTCAGGGGTGAGTAGGTTTTAGCACCATTAGGAACCATTCTGTTGGTTGCTTAAGTAACTATATATGGCAAACATATGAATGAAAATTTAAGTGTTCCTCAAGTCAGAGTGTTCTCATTTGCAAACGCCCGATACTGACGTTTCTATCATATGATGAAATAAGCTGATTCATTTTGATGAAAGGAACAATTTTCTGGCCATTCTAACGAATTTGTGGGAAACGAGAAACAAGCCTCAGGGAATTAAAAAAAAAAAAGTACATACATTCCTGTAAAATACACTTGCGTTTCTCTCAAAGTTCATTTTTTTAAATTAGATTTTGATAATGTTGTATAGCCTTTCTGTGGCTGTTTCTGGGAAATGATTCAAATTTGTGATACTGGCAAGATTTAAAGACTTTCTTTTAGTTTGTCATGGAATTGTCGAGTTGATTATATAGGCTGGGGGTGAGGGTAGCTAAAACCCTCTGTGGCTGGGAGCTTCTAATCTGAGCCGCAATCATGCCCACCTCCTGGCGTTCATACCCTTCTGTCATCCCCTCCTCTGCATGTGTGCTGGACCTAGTACCCCAATTCTTATGAAGAAAAGACAGCAAGAGTGGTGGGATGGCACATCCATGGTGAACTTAACAAATACCGGTCTCCACCTCGCTAGCAGTCACACTCTCTTGCTGGCACCCTCTCTTGCCTTCTCAACTGCAGCCTTAGAGGAAGCGAGTCACCATGTTGGAAAGACCCACGTGGCGGGCAAGTGAGGGTGGTCTCTATCCAACAGGTTGTAATGGAGGTGGGATCCTCGGCCCAACAGCCTGTCTGGAGCTAAATCCTGCCAGCAACCGCTCAGGAAACTTGGAAGCACATCCGGCCCTAACTGAACTGTGAGATGGTGCCTATAGCCCAAGCTGACACCTTGACTGAAGCCTCCGGAGTGACCCTGAAGGAGAGACACCAATCGAGCCCATGTCTGCACTGCTGACCCACAGAAACTGTGAGATCAAAACATGCTGTCTGAAGCAACTAAGTTTTGGGGTAATGTGTTACACAGCAATAGATAAACTCTTCTCTGTTTTTATCTTATGTTCAAAACTCTAATTGGTCTCTGCCCACATTCTGAATTCCTGTATATGTGAATGTGTTTCCACTAGAAGGGATAGAGCAAACTCCTACCTGAAGGATATAGATAAAATATTATTGTTGCAGATCTGATGCTAGTCTCTAAATTATTCCCTTAAGACCTCTTTCCCACAGCTTTTCTCCTTTCTGCCCCCCCCTTAATCTCAAATTTCCTCATATGTTGCTTCTTAGATCATTGAAAACACAAAGTATGTTTGGCTGGCTAAAAAGCACTGCCTACGCTACACAGTTTACCTAAACTTTCCTTTTCCATAATTGCCGGGAGCCAACACACGAGACCCTACCCCTAAAAAGGCCATAGGGGAGAAACCCTGATGGGCAAGGCGAATCAGGTTTTCAGGAGTTTTGAAAAAGTCACCTCACGAGACCCTACCCCTAACAAGGCCGTAAGGGAGAAAACCTGACGGGCAAGGCGAATCAGGTTTTCAGGGGTTTTGAAAAGGCCAGCTCACGAAATCCCACCCATGACAAGGTCACGAGGAGAAAGCCTGACAGGCAAGGCAGATCAGGTTTTCAGGGATTTCGAAAAGCTGCCTCTGGCTCTCACCTTAAAGATGATATCTGTCTTTCTGATGCCTGCCTCAATGGACTCTGACACAGGCAGGAAGGCCTTCCCCGATCTCTTCCCAAATAAGAATCAATTTAGAACTTTAATCAATAAGTTTCCCAGGTGGTGGTATTTTATGAGATTATCCAGGGTGAAAGGAGTGTTTTAATTCAAACTCCTTTGCTGGTAGTTTGTTAGGCAAATGCATTTATGCGCTTGGTACTAATATGCATGATTGCTTATAATATCCTAATCATAAAATAGCATAAAGAACCTGATTATATAAAAGCCCTAATAGATATAGAGCCCTTTTAAGGGGTAAAGGAGTCCTATTAGAAAACATAAGAAAATTATTCTTTAGGTGGTTATTGGGTTGTGATTTGCTTGCTATGTTTTGCTTGCTGTATTTTTGCCTTTAATGTGCTAAGGTTGTGTTATAAAAACCATTGTTAATATAGTTAAAGATCTAGAGAAATAAGAACTTAGCCCTAGTGTGGTAACAATGAGATGGTTGTTAATTGTCAGCCAGGAGTGCTAGGCAGAAGCTGCCTCACCAAAGTCGCAGAGTCAGTATGGGGTAAACTTTTTAGATATTCGCAACTGACAACTTCTGCAGAAGGATTAATTTTTGTGTTAACAAGGTTATACTTCTACTCTGTACTGTTGCCCTATGATACCTTAACCTTAACCTTTCAGTTAAGTTCACCATAGAAACAGAAAATAGGTTTACATTCACCTGACCTGCATGAAATGTTAATAGGCCCCAAGGCCAGAAGATAATGTACAAGACCCTCATAAACAAAGAAGTATGCAGAAAACACCCTGGTTTTCTGAAGGACAAGCTGACGTAATGTTAAACTATCTTCCCCTTAGAAATGTACTAACTTAGGGTATAAAAGCTATGGTAAAAAATAAAGCATTGCCAGACTCTGCCAGCTTCTGCAACCCCCGTCTGGTCATTCTCTCTCTCTCTCTCTCTCTCTCTCTCTCTCTCTCTCTCTCTCTCCCTCGCAGATTTGGCCCTATCAAGGCTGGTCTCATGTGTCTTCTCTCTCTCGCCGACGCTGTTCATCCTGAAGGTACCCCCTGGATCCTGCCGAGGCTGGACCCCGGCACATAATAAAATCTTTTAGCCCAACAAACCATTTAAAATGTTTGATTATGAATATTTACATACAGAGCCTGAAGGCTATAAACATGAGAAATAAATTATCCAATTAGGTACTGTTTAAATCACTATTATTAATCATAAATCGCTGAAAAAACAAGTAATCCACTTTAAAAACTCTTTCTTGTTTAAAATTCCACTTAAATGTTGCTTTCCATTTTCTTTTTTATAAAACCAAGTTTTGAAAGTCAGAACGCTGTGTGGAACTATGACCACCGTCACTGAGTAAAGGCTTCATATCTCTACTTCCTTTCCTACTGCCCAGCAGGGCTGCTCTTCCTCGGGAAGTTACCCTGAAATACATGAAATATAAGAAATCATCATTGGGATACCACATGGGTTTCATTATTTGCTACTTCTGTGTGTGCTAAGTCGCTTCAGTCATGTCCAACTGTGCAACCCTATGGACTGTAGCCTGCTTGGCTCCTCTGTCCATGGGATTCTCCAGGCAAGAATACTGGAGTGGGTTGCCATTTCCTTCTCCAGGGGATTGTCTTGACCCAGGGACCTATCCTGCATCTCTTATGTCTCCTGCATTGGCAGGCAGGCTGCTGCTACTTCTTAGTAATTAACTTTCGATGATCCCCCCCCCCACCACGTAATAAGAGACATTTTAGAGTTAGCAAATTCTGTATTATTTATGATTTTTAAAAGATTTTTTTAAATGTTATGGTTTCCTCCTTAGAAAATGTTCATTTCAACATCAACGACTTTCTAAAATTACCTTGTCTTAGTTTTATGGTAATTGCTTCTCTATCTTCAGAGTATCTTCAGGCTTGCCTAAGGCCTTCAGGCAGGTAATCTGGTTAAAGCTCTGAATCTTCAGATGAAGTCTCATCCCTTTACTTTCACGAAGTCCATGCTAGTTCACCACACAGAAACAACTAGAGTTGCAGACCTCTGGCTAAATTGGGTTCTAGGCCATGGTTCCAACCATCTCAACTCTTTCAGACATAGTCATACACATACGCATCAAGCATCCTCTTCACACCCGGGCCTCAGTGCTGCCAAGGGATTTATCCTGCCTATGCACAGCTTTCCCCACAGCCAACAACAGCAGCCCATTCAACATTGTCCTTTTACAAACTGAAGAAAATAAAGATAACTTTATAGAGAAAGACAAGGATAATTTTGGCTGAGCAATCGATTTGAATTATTATGCAATAGCTACAATCCAATACTAGGTAATCATATGTTAATCAAATCTAAAATGTTAGCTCATCAATGCTACGGTGGTTTCTTGTGTTCTTGTGACATGTCATCAAAAAGTGAGATGCTAGACTTTCCTGTTTGTCCAGTGGTTAGGACTCTGTACTTCCACTGCAGGGGACATGGGTTCCATCCCTGCTTGCGGAAGTAAGGTGTGTGTCATGGCCAAAAAATTTTTTTAAAAAGGAAAGAAAAAAGCTAAACGTCTAATTGGAGGTCACACAACTGTATTTGGCAAGTGATTCTTTCATTACAGGACATCAAGACAATGATTTTCTTACAAAGAACCTGCAAAGCTTACTAGGGAAGAGTCATTCTCTTTATTTCAAATCATGTTATTTTCTAGTCCAGAATCTGGATTCTTTTGTCTAGAGAATTTTCCTCTCCATTATTCTCCTAGTAATACCAGTAGGCATTATTCCAACTCAGCTTCTAAATTCTGCTTTTCATTCTTACTTTAAAAAATCACAGAATTTTGAAGACATAAAAAGCTATAGCTAATCTACTGGTTTTCATCCATGTATGTCTGGCCATTGAATGCTCCTTATTTAATGAATGCCCAAGTTGTTTTATTTTTTAAGTAAATTCAATGATTTTTTTTCTATTAAGAACAGTCTTTCTGGGTTTGTTTTGCCCTCATAACTCTGAGTTTACTATATTTCTATATTGTGAAGTGTTATTTGGTATTGAATTTTGATCTCAAAATCATATTGGGTCGATTTCTCTGCTGAGTAAACACAGGAAACCAGAATTCTCCACTAAATCAAAGCTATGAAATCAAAGACCCCCTTTTCTTCTCCTTGCCACATGCCTGCCCTGCTCAGACTTTCAGTAGAAGCTGGCGCATTCGTTGCTATCGAATAAAGAGTAGGACTCGGCCTCCACCTGCACACACCTACCTTTGAGTGTCTCCATGTCAAAGAAAGTGGCCGCAAACCTGGTGGATCGATGGGATGCTGAGCGAGAGTCTGTGCTGGTGAGACTTTTGAGCTTCAGTCGGCATCTCCATAGCTTCCAGTCCTCGAAGTGTGTGATCTGCAGTAGTTCCTCCAAACCCGAAGCTGCCCTGATCTGCTGCTCAGATCGTTCTAACATTGACCGAGAGGCCCGCTTAAAGTGAAACAAACCAAAAGATCTGATTTACAAGCAAGTTACTCAATTTCTACTTTGTCTTGATAATAGCATTTTTTTTTTGCTAGCACTTACAAATGTAACTGGGCTTCCCTGGTGGCTCAGCTGGTAAAGAATTTGCCTGTAATGCTGGGGACCTGAGTTCGATCCCTGGGTTGGGAAGATTCCATGGAGAAGGGAACGGCTACCCACTCCAGTATTCTGGCCTGGAGAATTCCATGGCCTGCATAGTCTATGGGGTCGCAAAGAGTCAGACACGACTGAGCAACTTTCACTTTCACAAATGTAAATAGAGCTAAAAATTAGATTATCAAAAGGGACACTAGTATCTAGGGAAAATGACAAGTAGTAATTTTGATCCACATTCTGTTTATTTATGATCAATGGAATGACTTATTTCCCCTGGAAATAAATGATAATTTAAAGACAACATTGTAGTGGGTTGAATGGCAGACATTTAAATGACATGTCCACATCCTAAACCCCAGTACCTGCAAATAAGACTTTTGTGGGGGAAAAGGATCTTTGTAGATGTAATAAAGTTAAGGATCTCGAGATGAGGTCACCCTGGATTATCTGAATAAACTTAAATACAAATATAAATATCCTTATAAAAGTCAGAAGAGGGAAGACATGGACACAAAAGAGGAGGATTTGTGAAGACGGAGGGAGAGGTTAAAGTAGCACACTCATAAGCCAAGGGTTGCCTAAAGCCACCAGAAGCCCATTACCCACTGGAGCTGAACTCTTGATGGCCTACACCTTCCAGAGGAGTCCATCAGTTCTGCAGCTTCAGTTTCATGGGGTTTTTTCTAATTGTTTTTCGTGAGATACAATTTACAGATAATGTAGTATAGGTTTAAGGTATGTAACACATTGAGTTCTTCAACGTCATGTTTTTGGTGCCATTTCTGCAAATGTTTGCCATCTGCAGATATTTACCATCCTGTGATCAACTTTTTATTTTATCAATCATGAAAACATGAGAGCAGAAGGTCATTTTACTTGGAAGTCCAGATATGAATGTGAATGTGTATATGCGTGCATGTTTTAACAGGTGTGAGAATCTCAAACATGTTTATGAACTGAGAGAAAGAGCCAGCAGAGTGCAAGAACATATGCAGGAGGGAAAGCAGGGACCTAGAGGGGTTGGTGTGATGTAAGTTCCAGAGATAAGCAGACAGAGGATGAATGAATGAGGGTCTGAAAGAGGAGGCTCATAGAGATGATCCAGGTCTGAGGATCACAGGACTCATTGACACCTATGGTTTCTCACTTCTTTGGGAAATTTGCCTCAAGGCAGTTTTCTGGGAGCAAGGGGTGGAGGAAGCTTGAAGAGCACAGATAGGGTTTGGGGAATAGACATTGAATTCCAGGAGCATTCTGCAACTGCTTCATCTAAGAAATCCGGGGATGAAATTGAATAACTGCTAATCTCTTCAGCAACTCTGAAATTCAGTGATGTGCTATTAAGGCTCATTTTTCAATAGTTTCTTATTTCATGATTATTCATTCCCTCTTCTAGTTGGACACTATAACTTCTTCATATTCAATCCACTCTGTGGAATAAAATTTTGTTACAAGACTGCTTCCCCATGAAAATAATGAAAACAATCAAATAGCTTTTTAAATGCTTTAAAAATTGTACTCTGAGAGGATTTTTATTTATTGAGGCAAATTTCAATTTCAAAATGATAAGGCTTCATAGCTCTTACAAGTTTCAATTCAATCTGAGAAATATCTTCAAACTATCCAACCATGAGAGCTCAGGAGGAAATAATCAAATCTCTGGATTGAATTAAGGCCACTGAAGGGCTCATACAAGTTACCTCATCATAAAAAATGAAGTGTTCACTCAAGTATAAGTTATTTAAGCAAACTTTAAGCCTTATAATTTAAAACCTAGTTTGAGATAATTCAGAAATTGCAGACAGTTATTTTGCTCTTACAAGTGGAGGTACTAAAAATTCGGAATAAGCAGAAAGCTGACAACTAATTCTTTGTGGGAGTAGGGGGTGGGCATGTATTTACAAAGGGTCAAGAATGACTACTAATTCCAAGAGGTTTTCTGCATTGGTGGATTTTTGTATAGTTCATTTTATCTGCTTGAACAAGACAAACGTTAAAATTAAAAAGTGTAAATATAGCCCCCAGTACATATTAAAACTATGAATTTCAGTGGTTTTCACTACCAAACATTTGCCAAGTAGCTTATAATTTCTTCCTATTTTCTAACGGAAGTGCTAATCAAAACTAAAATAATCAGAAAGCACTCAGCAAGAGGAATTGAGGAAGTGTTACCAGATCACTGCTTTTTTGTCACAACAGCATCTTTTTATACATCTGTGGTCATTAATTCAAGACTGTTAGCAATTTCCCTCCTAAATAGCAAATCATTCTCTGATGTCTTGGCTACCACAAGCCAGTTTCTAAGTTGAGACTTAAGGTCTTTGTAACAAGATTTACTGTTATTTCAATGCATACTTCTTCCTGCAGACAATAGGAAGGGTAGTCAGTTTTCCTTAATTTTTGACTTCACCTGGCATTCTCTCCAAGGAAGCACAAGCATCTGCACAGCTCAGGCCCAGGCAGTCATCTAGGCCGAGTGTGACTAACACAACAGGCAAGATATTTGGAAAGGTATGGTGGCCAGGTTTGGAGGAGGAATTTGCAAGTGTCCATGCTGTGGGGAAATCAAAAGCATTCTGTACTCTTAATCATTTGAGCTCTCAATTTCCATGCCTCTCCCTCCAATATCAGGTCAAAGAATACATTCGAAGAGTGACCAAAGGCATACTTTGGGGATATCAAGGAGCCCCATTGGGAAAAAACAGCAGGAGGTTCATTTTTGTTGGGTAAAGAGTGGGCTTGAGAGTGAGAGGGCTGGAAAGTAAGATTGGGAAGAGGGGTTGGTGGGGTGAGATACTACTTAACAGCCACTGAGTGCTGAAGAATTGATGCTTTTGAACTGTGGTGTTGGAGAAGACTCTTGAGAGTCCCTTGGACTGCAAGGAGATCCAACCAGTCCATCCTAAAGGAAATCAGTCCTGAATATTCATTGGAAGGGCTGATGCTGAAGCTGAAACTCCAATACTTTAGCCACCTGATGTGAAGAACTGACTCATTGGAAAAGACCCTGATGCTGGGAATGATTGAAGTGGGAGGAGAAGGGGATGACGGAGGATGAGATGGTTGGATGGTGTCACTGACTCAATGGACATGAGTTTGAGTAAACTCTGGGAGTTGATGATGGACAAGGAAGCCTGGTGTACTGCAGTCCATGGGGTTGCAAAGAGTCAGACGCAACTGAGTGACTGAACTGAACTGAACTGAGGATGGTCACAGTCAAGAAAACAACACCAAGGGTTGGTGGGGATGCCCAGCAATGGGGACCCTCATCCATTGCTGATAGGATTGTAAAATGGTGCTGTCACTTTAGAAAAGAGTTCCCCAATTCTTTAAAAAGTTAAACTCATGGTATGATCAACTAATTCCACTCCTAAGGATTACTCAAGAGACAGAAAATTGATTATTGGCTGCCTGGGGCTGGGAATGGGAATTCAGGTTAATTGTAAAGGGGCACAAGGGATCTTGGGCTTCTCAGGTGGTGCAGCAGTAAAGAACCTGCCTGCCAATGCCAGAGATGCAAGAATCTTGGGTTGGATCCCTGGGTCAGGAAGATCCCCTGGAGGAGGGCATGGTAACACATACTAGTATTCTTGCCTGGCAAATCCCATGGACAGAGGAGGTTGGGGTTGCAAAGAGTTAGATACAATTGAGCAACTGAGAACACACACACACACACGGGATCCTATATGGAGATAGCTGCACCACTCAGTAAGTTTACTAAACACCATTGAATTACTTCAAACAGGTGAATGGTTAAATTTTATAGTATGTAACTTGTATAACAATATAGTAGTTTAAAATAAAAAAGAGGAAGGATTGGAAGTTTAAAGGCCAGGCTAGTTGTATCCAGTTTGGGAGGCAATGTAAAATATCGGAGACTTGAACAATGAGATATCACTGGACACCCATTTCATTGGTTTGCTCTTTTGTTCATTTCTTCTTGCTTTGGCCTCAGTCCCCACTGTTCCATCTGCTGGGAATGCCCTCCACTCTAAGTTAAACCTTTCTCAAACAGGTGTTACCTCCATACGGAAACCTCTCCCACAATTCCCACCCCTGCCTGGGTCTGGTCCTTCAATCATATGGATTCCTAGCTCCCCTTCCTTTTCCTCAGCACTTACCACCACTGACACTGAAGAATTATTTGCCATTACTTACTTAATGCTTCTCTTCCCTACTGTGTTTTAAGAACCACTGGAGGAGTAATGGTATGTTTTATTCACATAGCAATAGGTAGAGCTATGAATTAGGAGGTTGGGATTAACATACACATACTACTATATATAACATACATAACCAACAAGGACCTAGTGTAGAGCACAGGGAACTTTACTCAATATTTTCTTTTCCTATTAGGGAAAAGAATCTGAAAAAGAATAGACATGTATGTGTATAACTGAATCATTTTTCTGTACACTTCAAACTAACACAACATTATAAATCAACTACAGTTCAGTTAAAAATAATAAAGAGGAAGACATAGACAGTACACTCTTTGATATACATCACAGCAAGATCCTCTTTAACCCACCTCCTAGAGTAATGGAAATAAAAACAAAAATAAACAAATGAGACCTAATTAAACTTAAAAGCTTTTGCAAAGCAAAGGAAACAATAAACAAGATTAAAAGATAACCTTCAGAATGGGAGAAAATAATTGCAAATGAAACTGACAAAGGATTAATCTCCAGAATATATAAGCAGCTCATACAGCTCAATATTAGCAAAATACACAGCCCAATCAAAAAATAGGCAGAAGACCTAAACAGAGATTTCTCCAAAGAAGACATACAAATGACCAATAAACACGTGAAAATATGCTCAACACCACTAATCATTAGAGAAATGCA